ATGCATATAATTTTCCAGCTAAGGTATTAACTTTCTCCAGTAACACAACAAGAACTGCACTAGAAAGGAACTCTTTAGCATTTTACATCCTTTAAAGTAATTTATCTCAAATTTTATAATGCTTTAAGAAAAACATCATCTAGGACACATAAAGCTATGAGGGGAACTGAATTTTCATTTTGAGTTATGTGTCCTCAGTGGCTGACCCCATACTTTGAGAAGCTCTGCTCTAACCCTGAGTCCTCATGCTCACCCCCAGGAGGTGCGAGCCAGCTGGAGATCTCTAAGCAAGAGGGCCAACTGTTCAATCTGTTGCTTTCCATGAATTAAATCCTGTTATTGTCAGATCTTTTACACCTACTCTTCACTTATTGACTGTCTCCTTATTTGAGATGTATTTACAACAATAGTAAAAAATCTACTATGTGAGTGTTTTGCTCGTTAAAGATGTACATCTGGCAGTCACAAACACTGAGGTGCAAGGCGAGAGTAATGCTGGCTGTAATGGTTAAGGTTATGTGTCAACATGGCTGGACCATCATTCTCAGTGTTTTTGCCAGTTATGTAATGATGTAATTTGGCAGTTATGTAATGATATAGTCACCCTCCATTTTGTAATCTGATGTGGTCATCCTCCATTTTTGCATCACACTGATTTTCGCATAATGACCTGGTCTTTAGAGCCTTACCTTGTTAATAAATGAGGAAGAGGTGTATTGTTAACAGAAACCTTTTCTGGCAAATGAAAGGTTACTCAGAAATCTGACCAATATATCAAAATAAAAGTATTGCCTCTGGTTGAAGTGAACCTGGGGGTTCAGAGCCCACCCTTTTCACACCCATCTCACCTTTTGCAAGGACCCTAGACTCCTTTCCCCTTCTGTCTCTTCTCTCCTTTCCCCATATTGCCATGGGGCTCATCATGACACACCTCCTCCAAATGTGGAAGAGCTGCCTGCTTTCCGTCTGTAGTTTGGGCCTCTTCTAATGTGTTACATATGGTAGGTGGCACTAATAGATAATTCATAATTGCAACAATTTTGGGAATACCCAGTAGCTGGGAGCTCTGGTGGCATAGTGTGTAAAGCATTTGACTGCTAACCAGAAGGCTGGTGGTTCAAACCCACCTGCCACTCCTCGGAAGGAAAATTGTACGGTTTACTTCTGTGTAGAGATACCACCTTGGACACCCAAGGAGGGGTTGCTATGAGTTGAATTGACTTGATGGCACAGAGGTTTATTTATTTATTTATTTATTTTGAGTAGCTTCTTCTCCTGAGGGATCAGGGAAGCCTAAACGTCAAACCTTATTTCAGTCCCTTTTCACCAGTCAACATGCTCCTAGTTTCATTCCTAATTAAATGCTTTGTTCCCATATAGTCCTAGAAAGTTTCTGCGAAACTCAAAGTTTGAGACAGCTGATGAGCTGAAATCATTCCTTTATGGAGAAAACTAGATGTTCCAGAAATATACGGTTATTCTGTGAGCTGTCTTAAATCTGTTTTGAAAGTAAGTGGGGTGTAAATAATGAATAAATAATGATCACTCAATAAAGTTATATGCAAAGCAAAATATATCTGCTTCCAGCTGAATGTCCTGGCAATGGGTGAAGAGGTAACCAACTAGGTGGAGAATTATGTCTCCTGATTGGGGAACCGGGGAGAAGTTCATGGAACAAGTTTGGTTGTTGTAAGATGGTTGATTATTTTTTTCTGCCATGAATAAAGAAAACACAAAAGCAAGAAGACTGAAAAGCAAACTTTAGTGTCTTCCCTGTAGTTTGACAGGAAAGAGTATGGCTTAAATTTTGTGACAGAGAAAGAGCGAAGTTAGGTGGAGACTGAACAATCAGGAGCTGTTGGTGGTCAGGGACTTTTAGTGCCAAATTAGGGTTTGTTATGAGTTGAAAAGGTTTAATTGGCAATTAGTATATCAAACTGTATCTTAGACATTTAGTTTTTTAAAACCATTTTTTCCCAAAATAACTACCTCTTTAAAAATTTGCATGCATTTATTTATTAACAATTTTATATTTTTATGTTATATCATTCACTTATAATTTCTACTCTCTGTTTAGGCCACATTTATATCACCCTTTGCCTCTCACATTGGTGATATGATAATTAAAATTGTAAGTCAAGATTCATTTAGGGGAGTTATATTTTGGAGGTTAATAATCTTCCATTAAAGGTCTATCATGCAATACTAAGGGACTAAGTTATAAGGGAGTGCCCTAGTCTTCCCTCTTGGTGACTATATGTGTGCCCTGTGGTGGTATAGTCCTTTATTCCATGAGACCATGACTTGCCTCTGTTGGAGTTCCAGAAAAACCAGTAGGCAGCACTTCTCACCCTGCTGAGGAAAAGTAATTCAGAGAGTCCAAGGAGTCAGCCTTGCGTCAGGCTTTGGAGATTAAAAACATCACCTTTATTATTAATAATGTGGATGGGGGGGCTGTGACTTGTATCTGAGGGAAAATGGACCATGATGTCCCTGGGTGGTGGGAACAGTTAACACAATCACTGCTAACTGAAAGGTTAGGCGTTTGAGTCCACCCAGAAGCACTTTGGAATCAGCCATTGAAACCCCTCTGGAGCAAAGTTTTCCTCTGACACACAAAGTGTTCATGAGACTGAGTCATCTCAAAGGCAACTAGTTTTTTTTTTTTTCTAAACATAGTCTCAGGTGGTACAGGAAACTGCAGGCCCCTCTCCTTGGAAGGAGCAGAGCAGAACTCATGGTCTCTGCCAACAGGTGGATCCAAAAAGGGAGTGTTAGGGGACAAGCCAGACTTTGCCAAACTTCCTTGGCTCAAAACAAATGCCTACCAGTTCTATCTGTTAAGTAACCTGATAGCCAGATGTTTGACAAGTATCACTGAAAATACCACTCCCTCCTCCTCCAGCCTCTTCGAGTTTGCTGCATAGCTCCCTCCAGTAGGAGAAAACTTTAGGAGTGGGAAAAAGCATATTTCACCCCCACCACCGTAATTACCAGAGTGCTGGCTTTCAGCTCAACGTCATCCGTGGCTCGTGGTGGCTTCCAGCCTAGGAGCCTGGATGCTGTATTCAGTATATACTTAGAAACTGTGCTCTCCAGTGTTCCTAGTACCACATAAATCTTTAAAAGGGAAATGGAAAGTGAGCAATAACCCCATGAGCACATATGGAATACATTTCTGTGGCCCACCCTTTCAGTTCTACATACCCTGAGGTCAAATACTGCAAAGGCCAAAAATAAACTTCATTTCACTTGATTAAGTTAGATTCAGTCTGTCATTTCTGCAGAGCCTCTCAACACACACTTTTCCCCCTTTACCACAGCTTTATGGCTAGCAGTGACATAAATGAACAGCTGAGCCTTCCTTGTCTACCCTAGCCAAATAATCAAATGGCCACTCATTTATGATGCAAAATTTCTATTAAGGATAAAATGTACTACATAGTGGATTTCTGGTCGTAAACAACCAAATATTTCTTGAGTGTGTCTTTCATTTAAACTACAGCATAGTCTCTGCATGTGCAGCTTGGTCAGTCAAGTATATGTTCCAATCAGTCAAATTGGCCTCATCAGTAAAATACTAGAATTAGCAAAATATGAATTGCTAAATTCATAAAAAAATTTACCAATGTAGTATAATGGTTAATTCCTCTGTTTTAAAATGTTACAGTGTCACACTCAGTACATACAAATGAAAGAATTCCCAAACTATGTCTGTGAAAGTGCTTTACCATTATAACTCTCCCCACTGCCCCCGCCCCACACACACACAAAAAGAGAAAGCACCTTCTAGACAGAACTACTAAAAAGTTAGAAATCCTTGGGTGGTACAAATGCCAATAAAAGTTCATCTAGGGGCACCTCAGAAGAAAGGCTGGTGATTTACTTTCTAAAAACCAGCCATTGGAAACCTTATGGACCACAATTCTACTCTACATTCATGAGTTCACCATGAGTTGGAATCAACTTGATGACAACTGAGCCCTGGTGGTGCATTGGTTAAGCACTCAACTGCTAACTAAAAGGTTGGTGGTTCAAACCCACCCAGCACTGTGTGGGAGAAAGACCCTAATGATGGATTCCCATAAAGATTACAGCCAATAAAATCCTGTGAGGCAGTTCTACTCTGGTGCTTGAGGTCACTTTGAGTTGAAATCGACTCAACAGCACCTAACAGCAGCAACACAATACTGCTTTACACAGAGGTAGTGTAGGGAAGAGGACTGGAAGTAAGAAGACTGGTTATGGGTGCCACCGTGACTTCCTATGGAAGGGAGCATGCCTTTTGAAGGAGGTCCAGGTATCTTCAGAGGAGGCCACCTGAGCAGGACTTCTGCATGGAGCCTTAGCTGCCCCTCCGCAGCTGCTTCTGCTTCTCACTGCCTTGCCAGGGCCTCCGGCTCTCATCTCACATTGTTTCTCCCACCCTCCCCAGTCCCACCTGGGCGGCCTCAGCTTTTGCTCCTTGATGTTCCCAACATCTGATCATGACTTTTAGTCTGGTTTTCAGCCTCACTCCTTGGAGACTCAGTTTTCTTGTCAGTAAAGTGGGGATCATTAATAATCTTTGCCTACTTCAAAGTGTGACTGTGAGGGTCAATGTCATATATGTTAAAGCATTTTGTTAATTGCAACATACTATAGAAATGTCAAGTGTTACAAATCATTAGCTGGCCTGTGTGAAAGCCATTTCTATGCCTATTTTGGTTACACCCCACTCCCCCGCCCACAACGGTTCTCTGTCAGATGGCAAATATAAATGCTACTGTTTTTTTCCTGCTTGGGTTTTGGAGGTTCCTTTGCAACTTTATGATGTAGTCTGACTCCTTAAGTACTCCTCTGATTCTTGGCTCTTCCCCTGAAGCCCCATGCAGGATCATCATCCATAAAACACTGAGGCAGTAACTGCTTTTAATCACCAGGAGTTCATCACTTGCTGAGTTCTAAATGCAGTCACTTAGATGCTTGCCTTGAAAAGCCTGTCCCTGTTTCTTCTGCAGAGCCGAGACTGCGTGAAGCTGGGGCCCCCAGCTGAGGGAGAAGTCGTCCAAGTCAAGTGGCCTGATGGCAAGCTCTACGGGGCAAAATATCTGGGCTCCAATGTTGCACACATGTACCAGGTGGGTGCTGCCCTTGTGTGATGCTTTCTGAGTGGACATGAGAGGCCATAGAGCAGACAGTGTATTGGGTATGTTGCTGATCAAAAGGTTGCTGATCAAAATGTGACTTTGGGACATCTGTTATTTTATAGGAGTCCCTGGGTTGTGCAAAGGATTAAGCTCATGGCTACCTATGGAAAAGTTGGCAGTTTGAACTCACCCAGAGGGCCCTCAGGAGAAGGGCCTAGTGATCTGCTACCATAAGGTCACAGCCATGTAACCCCATGGAGCAGCTCTACTCTGTACACACGGGCTCTAGCATGAGTTGGAATCATCCGGATGGCAACTGGTTTGTTGGTTTAGGGTTATTTTATAAAGCAGACAGAGATTTAATGTCTGTTGATGCAGGTTGAAGTATTGGACTTTATTACCAAGTTAGATACTGCGAAATACCAACGACATTTGACGACTAGTTTACTTATAAAGAATATGGTTATGCTAAGAAGATAAGCAAATGGATGGTCAGCTGTTTTTCATTTTATGGGGAGAGACTGAGTGGTTGGTTTACCTCACCTGAAGCTCGGGCAGTGATGGGTCTTCATCATCCCATAGCCCCAAATAGGCAGAGTGAGAAGCCCCACTGGACTTCTTGGCAGATCTGAATCCATGGTGCACTGGCACTGAAGAAGCCTGTTAGCATGAGGAGGAGCTGTGGTTGACCTCCACCAAGGCTGTAGGGGTACTGGTTTCATGAAACCTAAAGCTCTCACTTGAACATTCTCTTCATTGGGCAGTTCTACATTTTATCAAAGAATGTGTCCAATTAAAAAATGAAATTATTTTATCCCTACTAGAAATGAGCATGAGCTAAGCTCTAAGAAGGGAAGCATGGATCACACCTGTATATTTATATTCCTTCAGGAAGGCTTTAAACAGGAACACATTTATCAGAACCGATACTGTAGTATTTTCAGTAACATTGAGACAGAAATCCACATTCTCGTCTAAGCAGTAGAGTGAATACAAGAAGATTGAAGTAAAAGGAGAAAAAGCAAGAAGGTCCAGGCCTGTTAAGTTGAAAAACAGCTTGAGAATGATAAGACTGCCAGTTGCAGCAGAGGAATTGTTCAAAGACTGATAAGGGGCAAGACTTTAAATTGAAGAGTGCTTTATAAGGCACTGCATCAGGAACTGGAGCACAGTATAATGAAAGATGTTCAAAGAAGTTTGGAAAACTTAGAGGAGAACTTTTCTCATGGAGAAGAGAAGATGTGTAAATATACATTTTGTGTCTGTATTATTGTGTATGTGTATATAGGTGTGTGTATGTGTATGGATGCATAAGAATGTGTGTATAAAGCCCATTTCTCCTATTGGGGGCAATATTAAGTTGCAGATTCAGGCTCTTTATAATAGGCCACCAGCTGGTGTTCTTTTGCAGCCGGATGCTCAGAATTGGGCAAAAAATCTCAAGACAAGGGCCTATAATATTGGAGTCTCCTGGAAAAGATGCATTACTACATTATTTTAAAAAGAAAAAAATAGCCTATTTAATTAAACAATAAGTGCAAACGTGAAGCTTCTTACAGCACAGCTACTTGTTACATGAAGAGTATTACATAATGAGGACATGTTGAAATTCAGACTAATTAGTAATCAGTGTGTTAACTTCTATTGAATTTATGATGGCCTATCAATGTAAAACTATGGGCATATTTAAAGACTATGAAAAAGTTAAAACTAATATTAAAAATATCTCTCAAGCACAAAAAAGAAACCCATATCCACTGCCATTGCATTGTTTCTGACTCACAGAGACCCTATAAGACTGAGTAGAACTGCCCTACAGGGTTTCCAAGGGTGTAAATCTTTATGGAAGGAGACTCCCTTATCTTTCTCCAATGGAGCAGCTGGTGGGTCTGACCCTTTGGTTATCAGTCAAATATGCCTTAGGACTCCACTACCAGAGCTCCTTTCTCAAGCACAAGTAGTTTAAAATCCATATTAAACCAAGTGGCCTTTAGAGAACATTATGTGTTTTGTGTCTAATTATTCAACCTCACCATTGACTATGTAAAGACATTTATGAAAACAGATATAACTTCAGTATCTGTTGCACAGTGCTAAGTATTCTAAATATATGTGTTATTGTTTTTGATCTGCATACTAATCTAAATCAAGCCCACTGCCATCAAGTCAATCCTGACTCATAGCGACCATGTAGGACAGAGTAGAATTGCTCCAAGGCTGTAAATCTTTACAGAAGCATACTGCCACATCTTTCTTCCATGGAGCAGCTAGTAAATTCAAAGTTCCAACCTTTGGGTTAGCAGCCAAGTGCTTAACTATATACCACCAGAGCTTCTTTTGACCCTCTTCTTAGTAGTCCTGAAAGCTAGGTATTACTGATTTTTATTTTACAAATGAGAAAAAAAAAAAAAAAAAAAGGCTGAAAGATGTTTTAATAGTTTATTCAAGGCATACAACTAGTAAAGAGAAGGGCCAGTATTTACTCTCAACTCCTATCTAATTTAGGATGAACAACCATTTCAGTTTGCCTGGGACTGTTCCCATTATATCCCTGAAAGTCCTACATCCTAGGACATCTCTCAGTCCCGGACAGACTGAGTTGGGTGGTCACCCATGTCCTAGCAGACCATATGCCCTTTTAGTTTTATACTTGCCTTTTTCTCTTTCAGAATTTTCAAATGACGTAAAATGGAAGAAAGGTCTGCACAGGTAGTTCTAGCTATGCCATCTGTTGTATAGTGAGCTGACACCTTGGCCTAATTAAGTAGTAAAGAAACCATTCTGCTAACACATGGCCAGAAAGAAAGCGTTCCCATCTTCACCCTTCTGGGAGGTGACAGAGAGAGTTGTCCTGTGCCCAAGACTTAATTGCCCCCCATCACTTTAGCTTCATCAAATGTTAGCAAGTAATATTAATTACATATTTTATTTTTATTTTAATATATTCCCCCAGCCACAGTAGATTTTTTAATTAATATAATACAGCTTCTGCATGATTTAACTTACTTTTTAACTAGATGTGCTAGCATATATGTGTTTCTTAAAAGAGAAAAATGAAGCCAGAAAATGAAGGCATTTCAAAGCAGTCATAAACGGCTCACAGTCAGAACGTACTGGACATTCCACTCTGCCTGCACATCTCTGTTGCTTTCTTCCAAGAGGGTCCGTGTTGTCTCAAACCTTAAAGCCCAGATTTGAGCTTCATTTTGAATTCAGGCATCTCATAAATGTCCACCAGCAGTGCTAGGTGTCTGTTAGCCAGTGTCACTTGTCTGGGTATCTGGCAAGATGTTCTAAAATGTCAGAACAACTGATTTTAAAATTATGTGCTGCCATTTCGTTAGCTTGGATGGTAGGCGGAAAGTAGAAACAGTTGCATTTTCGATACCAGTGTTTTTTCACACATCATTGTGCTGTACATGTGAGGAAATGAGAAACTGGGATTTTCCTGCCCTATTTGACGGAATTTGACAAAAGTGAGCTTTCAAAGCTAAAGTATTATGGGAAGCTAAGAAACCGTTTATCTGGGAGGATGATTACACATGGGCAAACAGACCATCTTCTTTCTCAAAGAGAAACAATCCTATCTGTTGAGAGTGTCAGACCTTTAAAAAAAAAAAAATAAAAGGATACTAATCGGTGCCGCTCATCTTCATGGTGAAGTTGCCACACTCTCAGATTCTGAGAAGTCATTTGAACAGTGGCTGCTTTTCTTTGTCCTTGCTTCAGGGGAACATTTTTATATCACATTTCAAGACAATCATTTTCAGAAGTTTGGCCTATTTTGAAAAGGCATTCTGTCCTTAGTTGGATGAAGTAAGAGACTCTTCTTATCTCCTGGGCTGGTTTCCTTGTTTACTCTGTTAACTTCTTTTGTTCTTTTTTAAATGGACCTGATTGGAACTCTTAAAAATGGCCAGGGCTTATCTAGATGTGATGATGGGTCTCTCCTAGTCAAGAGCAAAGAAGAAAGCAGAAAACCAAAATTAATGGAAACAATCAGTCCCCACGACTGGTACACCATCCGATCTGCAACCTGTACAACTATGAGACAGAAGAACTAGATGGTGCCCGGCTACCACTGTCATCCACTTGGAAGGGATGTAGGAGATCCTGGATAGAGAGGGAGAACAATGTGGAACAAAACTCAAAATCATTTGGAGGGGAAAAAAAAAAGGGGGGGGATGGTTGGGACCAGGTTTGCTGGTCCAATAGAGCCTGGTGGAACCACTGAGACTATGGCCTCTAGCTACTCTTCAGGTCTGGAATTGAACCCACACCTGTGGTTTCCAGCCAAACAAAGTACAGGCATGTGAGCTGAACATTTACCTCAAGTAGACACACACCCTCGAGAGAACAATCATGGGAGAAGGAAGGGCAGCTTATGCACAGGGAGACAGCTCAGGGGGCAGGAGAGTATGGAGTGATGGACACTGAGAAGTGGTACTATGGGGAGGAAGTTGGAGGGGAGCTGTTGCATTGTGGTAAACTGTGGTCAATGACATGAGACAAAGTATATGTGAACTGCTGTATCGAGAGTGAATTTGCTCTGTAAATCTTCACCCAAATCACAATTAAAAAAAAAAAAAATGGCCAGGGCTTGTTTGTTGTTTTTAATATTATGTATCATGATGTCTTACTTTCCATTAGGTTGAATTTGAAGATGGATCCCAGATAGCAATGAAGAGAGAGGATATCTACACCTTAGATGAAGAATTGCCCAAGAGAGTGAAGGCGCGTTTCGTAAGTGCTGGTGAATGCCCCTCAGGGACCCTTGTGTGAAGCCACCTCTTCTCCTGGTGCTTCACCTGGGCTTTCAGTTGGTTCTGATGAGAGCCATCCCAACTTCTCATATTGAAATCTGCTAAATGCAAACCTCAAATTTGGCAACAAAAGAACGGGGAACCTGATGCACCTGCTTGTTTTTTCTTTCTAATGAAGCCAAATGATACTTCTTTGTGAATAGCTTATTGGCATACAAGAAATAGTTCTTGAATATATGTACTCAGCAAGGTGTACAAAGATACAGGGAAACCTGTGAGAGCCAGAACTTGATGGGACTGCCCTATTTTTCCAGGTCTCACAAGTTTTTGCTTCTGACAAGGTACAGTCTGACCACTTTTCTTTCCCTCATTTTAGTGGAAAATATTTGAGTTTCCTTCTCTCACAGGTTTCCACCATACACTGGTTTCTTGCTTTCACAGGTTTTACTGTACCATCAAGGTTTTTACAGTTGTGTTAGTTGTAGCAACATAGAAAGAAATCATTTAGTACCAGATTAAAGGGGACAGCATAAGTGGTAGCCTGTTCCTGATCACTTTATCATATACTGATTAGCTTCTCTCTCAGAAGCTCACTACTATTTGTATCAGTTCAGAATTTAGCTAAGCTCTAACTTTCATAAAAGACAGGGAAGACAAAGCCCAAATGATAATGTAGAAATGCTAAAACAGTGTTTTTAAACTAAAAATATTATTAGTTCCATGTTGTTGTCAGTTGCAGTCCAGTCAGCTCCAATTCTAGGCATCCTTACATATGACAGAATGAAATGCCCATCGTGTCCCATCTTCATGATCACTGGTATATTTTGAGTCTATTGTTGGTACCTACTCAAGTCCCTTATGTACCATTAAAAGATGAAAAGACATGCACTAATAATCAAAACTGAGATTGTTGAAAAATATAATTCACAGTAACTTAGGTTTTATATTACCGTATCATAAAATATTTAGTACACCCTGAAATGAACTCAATTTTATTCATTTAGAATTATTACATCGGCTGCATCTGGGAAGTGTTGCTGTTGGGTGCCATAGAGTTGGTTCTGAGCCATAGCAATCCTCTGTACAACAGCACGAAACACTGCCCAGTACTATACCATCCTCATACTCATTGCTATGCTTGAGCCCGTTGTTGCAGCCACTGTGTCTCAAACAGAAAAATTGGAGAGAGATTTTTTGGAATAAAATTAAAAAACAAAAAAAACATTTTTCTGAATAAATGACACAGTTTTCAGTGGATACTTACAATACACTTTTATGCAATGACAAAGTTACCATCAGTTATGTTGGAAAAAAAAAAAAAAAACATGGATCATTCAGTTGTATCTTTGGTTCCTTTTCTATCAGGTGGGGTCCTAAGAGCAGGTAACTGTATCAGGTATAAACTGATTTTCCTTCACAACTGCATCCGTAAGAGGAATGTCTTTCAAAGTGAAAGAGACAATAGAATAGTGAAATGCAGCATGTAGGGAACCCACATGACTGAAATTGAATTAGTCACCAGTTAATACACCACAGAGAAAGAGGAAATCAAATATTCCATTTGTCAAGACAATTTGACAATGACCTAGAAAACCAGAATCTCTGTGAGTGTTCTAAGATCTGGAAATCTCTTGAGAACAAATTTCCTTTTCAAGATGGTAGAGATGGCTGCCCACCCCCATTACATGAGCCTGCCTTCCAAGGATGTACCCTCACTCCTTTTTCCTTCCCTTCTCTTCTTTCCTTCCTTTCCCTTCCTTTTTAGAGGATAGGGAGTAAAGTAGGTGACCCCCTGGGAATCTCTCAGGTCTTTGATTTTATAATCTACCTGTGGTTTAGCATCTTACCAGCTGGGTCTTGGAGAGTTCAAACACCATTTCCTAATCGCATTACAAGACAGCTCTCTCCTGCACTGCTTTGATCATTGTCTTTGCTCCACTATAGATTTGGCTCAGAGATCTGCATGCCGTCATGGGTGGCTTTATCTGAACACAGTTCCTGAGCTTTCCAATGATCCATTTCTCTGAATAACTAACACTAACATTTAACTTCTCCCCACCTTTAATTCTTGGAGAAACATTTTTAATTAAAAAAAAAATATATATATATATATATATATAAAATCACACATGCATATGCTCTGAATGCAATGTATGATATCATACAGTTGAGCCTGCTGAAACTCTCTTCAGGAACAAAGGCTCACCATCACTAAATCTGGTTGGCCACTTCAGTTCTTACTGAATCACAGACTCTGTTTCCTATTGTAGCCAACCTGCCTTGAGTTCACGTTGGTCTAGAACTCCCCAGCCATTGCTTAGCCTGTCTCTGATGCTAATTTTTTTTTCCAGTCAGTGAAACAAATGTAATTGGAAAAGTCATTGATGGAAGACATTTTGATTAGCAAATTTTGTATGTGAGGGTGGGGGTGGGTGAGTGGGTTGGCAGCCTTCAGTGGGAGGCTTCCATGTTTCAATGACTCCTGCTCACCCAGACAAAGCTTACTTAGAGAGAAATTTTTCAAAAGTGTCAGCAGTCCACCTCAGCAATTGTGCTGGGTTCTTTTCCACTAACTTTGGAAATGGCCCCATTACCTTTTATCGACTCTCAGAATCACCATAGCAACAGTGCATAATTAACTAGAGCCTCTGGTGAGAGGTTTTATGACTGCATCTGAGAGGCTGGCTAGTGCTGTTCTTCAGTGACACTGCGTCCATAGATGTTTTATTTTCTCCTTTGACAATGTTGACACCTATAAAAGTGAAAGATCTCTCAGAGGAAGTCCAAAAACAACTGAAACAGGTATGTTTTCTCCAAATACCAGAGGGAGCCCAACCAACCCACTGTCTGCTAGTTTTCTTCCTGAGTAAACTTGGTACAATGTAGCCATGTCTGGGGAGCCATGGAGGCAGCCTGTTATCCTGGATAGCTCTCTCATGAGCTGGCCAGGAATACGTGCCTCTTTACACTGAGCCTACCTTTTAGTTTTCAAGCTTCTTTGAAGCTGTTCCATTGCTTTTATCCTCTTCACGATTGATGATATGTTTTCATGCCCTAAACTGTAGACTCTACCTCAGTCATTACCCAAAAAAGTGGCATCGGTGACAATGCTGTCATTGGAAGTGAGCCACTTTAGTGAGAATCAGTGGGGAGTGCACTTTAGGAGGCAAACTAGTAGGATGTTGTTGTTAGTTGCTATCGAGTCAGTTCTAGCTCCTGGCCACCCACGTGTGTAAAACAGAACTGCTCCATAGGGTTTTCAAGGCTGTGAGCTTTCAGAAGCAGATTACAAGGCCTTTCTTCCAAGGTGCCTCTGGGTGGGTTTGAGCTGCCAACTTTTCCGTTGGTAGCTGTGTACTTAATCATTTGCTCCACCTGGGGACTCCTAATAAGACATTAAGCCAAAACCAAACCCACTGCCATCAAGTTGATTCTGACTCATAGAGACCCCCATAGAGTTTCTAAGGCTGTAAATTCTGGAGAAGCACACTGCCTCATCTTTCTCCTGTGGAACATCTGGTTTAGCAGCCTTAACCACTGTGGAACCAGAGCTCATTAGGAGGCAAAAATAGGGCTTTAATGTAGACTTGAAAGCCTTGGTGGAGCAATGCTTAAGTTCTTGAATGCTAACTGAAAGGTTGGCAGTCTGAACCTACCAAGCGGCTCCACTAGAGAAAGACCTGGCAATCTTGTCCCATAAAGGTTGTAGCCTTGGAAACGCTATGGGGCTGTTACATGGGGTTGGATTCGATTCAACAACACCTAATAGCAGCAATGTAGACTTTAAGGAATCCTTGGGTGACACACTGTTGTCCTGAATTGGCACAAATTCAGTGACAACTAACACCACCACCAATGCAGATGTTAGGCTTTCTCTGAGCATCACAGAACCACCACATGTTCCTTTGTTGAGCGAACCCTCACTGGGCAGTGACTAAGTACCAGGCGCTTCTGGTGTTGGGGAAACAGACATTAAATTCATTACACATTTCCAAATCCCTCACTCTCAAGGAACCCTGATGTGAAGAATCTAAGCTGCCTTTATCTTCATTGCCCCTTCACATTATGTTGAGGTGTAGAGTTCCATAGGAACCCAGAAGAAAGGCTCCTGATTTTACCTGTGGCAGAGAGAAGATAGAATATCTTCCATGCAGAGGAAGCAGCATGTCCAAAGACAGACTGGTCTGAGGCCCTGTGCCAGCAAAGTGTGGCTGGGTCTGCAAATAATTCAGTCTAACCAGAGCATGGGGTGCTTGTCAAGGAGACAAGGCAAAAATGCCTTTTACCAGGTAGTACAGATGGTTAACACACTCGGCTGTTAAGCAAAAGGTTGGTGGTTTGATTCCACCCAGAGGCTCCTCAGAAGAAAGGCCTTGTGATCTCCTTCTGAAAAATCAGTGATTGAAACCCTATGGAGCACAATTCTACTCTGACACACATGGGGGCACCATAAATTGGGGTTGACTTGGCAATGGGTGTAGTTTGATTTTTTAATGAAGGGCCAGCCTAAGGAGCTTGGATGTTATCTCTGAGGCTGTGAGGGTTATTGAAAGATTGTTACTAAGAGTGTCATATCATCAGATTTTAGGGTGCTCTTTTCTGGTGGTTCTATGGGAAATAGATTGGGATAGAGCAACTCTTGTTGGAGTTTGGGAGAGGAAGTATGAGGGCTATACCCTGGTCTCAGTAGATGTTTTGGTTACCTAGTGCCACTCTGACAGGAATATAACACAAATGGGATAGTCTTAACAAACAGGAGTTTCTTCTTTTACAGTTTGGAGGCTTTAAGTCTGAGTTCAAAGTGCCAGGCTCTAGGGGCTGGATAAAAGCCCCTAAACCTTGGGCTTCAGTTCTGTCTCCTGCTTCCAGCCCACTAGAGTCAGAGGCTTTTCTTCACTCAGACAGCTGCTGGCTGCTGAGGCTGACAAGCCCAAGGTTGACAAGTAAAAAGGCACAGTCCCGATATTACCAAACCACACAGCAGGCCATTCATTCAAGTCCCTTGAAAGTCCCAAGGTTGGCAGAGCATGGCAGGCTGCTGAGCAACACATACCCAAAGCAGCTACTCAGCTGCTCCAGTAGATTCCACTATGGAGTTAATTACCAATCTCACTGTGGGGAATAACTACATTCAGCTTCCCAGCCACTCAACCAGGCCCAGCCAAGTTGACACAAAAACATAACCACCACAGTAGATAAAGAAAAAAAGACTAGAGTGCTTATAGATACATGTAGGAGGGAGCCTGGATAGGTGGGCATGACGAGACATCTACACTGACTTTTATGTTTCTGACTAGTATCAGTCACTGGGTAGATTGGGGATGGTGTTACCATTTATGGAGTATAGGAGGAGGACACAGGAAGAACAGAGATGGGGAAGAGAAATCTCAAATGCAGTTAAAATAGGTTGATGTGAAGTACATCACATTGAGAGGACTGCTGGACAATTGGACACATAGGTTTGGAGGACAGGAGGAGATTGGAACTAGAGCAGGTAGGAGTATCTTGGACGGGATGCAGGAACTGAAGCCATAGATGTGGGTGTGAACATCTGGGGAGCAGATGAGGAGAGGGCCAAATGCAAAACCTCAGGGGTGTCAGAGTGCAGCAAACAGTTAAGAAGGGGAGCCCTTGAAAGATCAGAAATGAATGGCCAGAGAAGGGGGAGGAGCGGCAGGATGAAGGGCTTACCGAAATCACAGAGGAGTGTTTCAAACAATAGTTAGATAAGAAGCCAGGTAAGATCAGTATAAAAGGGTGGTGGGAATCGGCACCTAGGGCCTTGACAAGACCAGTTCCAGGAAGTAGTAGAGGCAGAGGCCCCAGGTAAAGAGGAATTCAGGGTGAATTAGAGATGACTGTTGATGTATTGGCCCAAAACATGGTTGGGTGGGAGCCAGAGGGAAGATGGAGAGTTAGAGAATCTTAAAATGAGAAGACTTTAAACTGGGTTTGTGTGTGGGGCCACTCTAGGTGTGGATCTCAGAGAAAATGGAGTAAATGCAGCAACGAGTTCAAGAAGATGGGAGGGTGGGGGAGTCAGGAAGAGTCCGAAGCATCCAGGGTGAGCCCATGACCTTGGGCTCTGCACCCTGCCATGGCCAAATAGGCCAGATCTCTGTACACTCTCATGATAATCAATGCCATGCCTTTCTGCAATGTAACCACTGGCTATTCTTAGTCCACAGCCTCTGATATGAGATTTGAAGACACATTTTATGGAGCGGACATAATCCAAGGGGAGAAAAAGAGACAAAGAATGCTGAGCTCCAGGTTTAAGAATGAATATGTGGATGACCCCGTATACCGCACTTTTTTGAAGAGCTCTTTCCAGAAGAAGTTCCAGAAGAGACAGTAGTCCACGTGCACTGCTGCTGGCTACAGAGCAGCTGGGGAAAAGGAGAGGTGGGGCGATGACCTGGGGACTACGCTGTGTGCTCCCCAAGGGGAGGGTGACGGGCCTTGTCCTGACAGTGGTATGCTAGGCTTCCAGATTTTGGTCACCAAAGTTACTAAATACACATAGTATTGACCGGACACAACAATCCCAAGCCATTCTCTAGGCAAGTTTTCACTTACATGCAACTATCTTCTGTGATCCCAAAGAATTTTTCTAAGTGAAAGGAAGTAATAGTGAATTAGAAATTAAAAGCCCACTAGAAATTAAAAGCCACTGCTGGGAAGGAGGGAGCAACCCTGTGGCTTAGGGGCCCCCAGTCAGGGAACACACAGAGACTTTGATCCCTCACCTCCAGCCACTGGGAGCCTCATTACCCAGGTGGGAGGGTGGTAATTTATGTATTTTCCACAGTCAGGGAAGGACTCTCACTTACCTGTTCCCCACCCCCCCCAAAGGGAGTTTTTATAAAACATTTTTAAACCACAAATGGCATTTATGGTAATGCGATTTACCCGTGTGCTATCTGTGTTTCCTCTGTACAGAACTTTTACATTTTTTTATATCCCTATTCCTTTTGATTGTGTCTGACAAGAACCAAGTTACTGGCCTTTGTGAAACGTACGGCTCTTGAGGAAGAATTCTTATGAATTGTATGGGGATTTTGTATATTTAAAGAGGGAGATCTGGGGCTGTTATTTTTAAACACTTTTTTTTTTTCCAAAATGCATATTCTGAGTAGATATTTATAAAAAATATATGTTTATTTCATTATATGGTTGTAAAATTAGACTTTACATAAATATGCTTTGATGAATAGGTTTGAACTAATGTAATATGAATTTTCCTTTTTAAAATCGCCTGAAAATGTACTAGTGTTTAAAAATAAAGATTTCCATTTTCTCCAGCAGTATTGCCTTCAGACTTGGTCATTTGTCTCGGTGTAAGCCTATAGGAAAACAAGTCTTGCTGGCGAGTTGCTGTCAAGACAGATTGTTGTTTTTAGGTGCCATCGAGTTGATTTTCAGCTCATGGTGACTCCATGTGACACAGTGGGGTTTTCTAGGTTGTACTCTTTACAGATTGCCAGGTCTTTCTCCTCTGGAGAAAATACACCCACAAGGTATATTTGGTAGGTTCAAACTGCCAACCTTTTGGTTAGCAGCCAGGTGCTTAACCATTGCACCTTCAAGACAAACAAACCAACAAAACTGAACTCACTGCCATCAAGTTGTTTCTGACTCATAATGACCCCCATTGGGTTTCCAAGGCTATAAATCTTTACAGAAGTAGATTGCCCCATTTTCCTTCCACAGAGCAGCTAGTGGGTTTGAATCACTGACCTTGTGTTTACCAGCCAAATGCCTTATCTGCTGCACCACCAGAGCTCCTTTCAAGACAGACTAGGGCCCAGGTTTTCAGACTCTTATCCTGTCACTGACTTTGTACATAACTGCAGACATATTGCCAGACACTTACTGTGGTATCATTGGATAGGAGTAATTTGCCTGCCTTTGGGGCCAACTGAAACGCTTTCCTCAGCTGCTCCTTCTAGGCTCTGAATAAGTCTGAGGACCTGGATTTGAGAGCACTTCACACCCCAGGTTTCTGTTGTTGATAGTTGCTGTTGAGTTGGCTCTGACTCCTACAAACCTTACGTACAGCAGAACAAAGTGTTACCTGATCCTGTGCCATCTTCATGATTGCGGCTTTATTTGAGTCCATTGTTGTGGCTATTGTGTCAGTCCATCTCATGGGGGGTTTATTCTGTACCTCCACTTTTTTAACCATGGTGACCTTTCTAAGTCCCAGTTATCATTCAAAGGGACCATTGAGATCCTCCAGTCCCTCCACTCAGGAGGACAGCTGGGAGAAGGGATCACCCAAGGTCCCCTGGACCTTAGTGACCACCTCTGATGACAACAGCCAGTTATACTGCATAACAAACAACCACAGAATCTCAGTGGCCAACCACAGGAAGCTCCTGAATCCATCATTAGCTGAGTGGCTGTGCTGACCTGGGGTTGGGCTAGCTCACGCATCTCTGCATGCCTCCTGCCGTTTTGCTGGGCCTGGTGGCCTAGACCAGCTATGTTATTCTCACATCAATGGCACAGGCCAAAGAGGAAGCAAACCGAACCTCACACGCATATTTCCAACCTCAGTGTCATATTGGTTGACATCCCATGGGCCAAAGAAAGTGCTATGACAAATCCCAGAGCCAGGATCAAGCATGTAGATGTGTCTTCCAGTTACTGGGGAGGAAGTTAAAGACTGAAGCAGTAATGGCAAAGCCACAGTTAAACTCTGTTCTCTAGATGGCTGCTTGGGAGCTCATTTTCCAGAGTGCCTCATGGCTGACCTCTGAGCTGGGGAAGAGCCCACCTGCCGTATTTTTACAGACAATGAGCATTCCACATTCTCCACCAGCATAGTCATCTATTTTAGTAAGGGATCAAGCTCAAATTTTCTATCTCCAGGTTTTGAATGGAACTGACCTGCTGTCTGCACAAGATGCCAGGAAAGTAGGCCTGCATAAGGCATTAAGAAGAATTAATCTAAATAGGATCATTCATTCTGTACAAGTTTACTTGTCAGCAAGATTTCTGATTGGCGAAAATGTGTAACCTCCTATGTGATCTCAAGTACAGCTGTTTTTTAACGGTCTCACTTAACTAATGTGCCTGTTACCAAGTACAGCTGTTGGTGGCCTTAGCAAAATAGAGCTGGCCACAACTGCACTCTCGCTATTGAGAAAGGCACCTTTGTTTCACTGTATTCTGCATAAAGGGGTTATTAATTCTATGACCAGACACACTGTTAAAACTTTTTCATTTATGTTACGACACGTCAATTGTAATTTTAATTTCTCTGCATTACACTGCTTTTTTAATGTGTATGTGTACCAAGAAATCAGTTGAAGTCCCTCGAGTATTTAAAAAATTTTTTTTTTAGCTGTGACAATTCTGATGTAAGTCTAATTGCAAATCCTCTCTTCTAAGGCTAGAAGGTTAGTAAAAGTTGCTTGGTGCATTTCACAGCACTTTAGTTAGTGTTTTTTGTGTGTATTTGAAATGAGGAAAATGTGATCCTTGTCACTCTTCTTTTATTCAGGGACTTTGAGAAGCAGCCTCCACTGAAATATCACATGACTTTTCGAAACATAAGTTTTGAACAAACAACCACAGAATCTCAGTGACCAACCACAAGAAGCTCATACCCACTGCCATTGAGTGTATTCTGACTCACCGCGACCCCCGTTGGGTTTCCATGGAAGTGGATCGTCTAATTTTCCTCCTATGGAGTAGATGGTGGGTTTGAACTGTCAACCTTTGGTTTAGCAGCCAATATGCCTTACCCACTATGCCACAGAGCTCCTTTGCTATTGGGTTATGGTATATAAATATGTGAAGGCAACAAATTCATAAATATATGAATGGAGTCCTTGGGCAGTGCCAACGGTTTGCATACTTGGCTACTAACCAAGGTTGGAGGTTCAAGTCTACTCAGAGGTACCTTGGAAGAAAGCCCTGGCAATCTACTTCTGAAAAATCAGCCACAGAAAATTCTGTGGAGCACAATTCCACAGTTCCGCTCTGAGACACCTGGGTAGCCATGAGTTAGAGTGATGGCAACTGGCTTTTTATAGAAATGAATGGGTCTGCTGCTTGTCTCTGAGCCTGTTAGATGTGGAACAAGCCAGTGGTGTGTATTCTATTGCAAATGTCCTGGAGGTCTTATGAATAATTATTGGAGTAGTATCTGCTGCAAGATAACATTGTGCTTTATTTCTGCCTTTAAGTAAAAGGGATCTGAAATGGGACAATCTTCATTTCAGATATAAATCAGGCCCATAAACTTGAAGCTAACCAGAGATCCTGCGGCATTTTCATTACATGAAGTAATTGGTTAGTTGCAAGACTCAATTGTGTCATGAACTGTTCTGAGAATTCTGATGTGCAGCCATTGGAAGTGTGACAAGTTCTCTTACCTACCGTATTGAGGGGACATGTAACACTAGCTTGTGATGGGAATGATTTCTGATCTTTGAGGAACCAGAACTCTTTCACAAGTGGGAGGCAATTCAGCAACCCAAAACTCTGTCCTCAGAAGGTGCTGTCACCTTGAGGAAAACAACCATTCTCAAGGTTAGCTAGGATTAATAACCATGTTTTGAGTATCTATTGTGTGTACCCGGCCTTGTAAGCTCCTTAATGGCATGTATCTTATTTAACCTCCTTCAAGAATTTGGCAAGATAAGTATTATTTCCTTCTTTTAGGGGAACTGTTAAGGACTGAGTTATATCCCCCACAAAGTTATGTTTAAGTCCTCACCCCTATACCTGTAAATATGACTCTGTTTGGAAATAGGGGTGTTCTTTGGTTGTGTTAATGGAGCATCCAGGAGTAAGGTGGGTCTTAAACCTAAAACCTGGTCAGTGGTGTCTTATGAAAAGAATAGAATAGGTAGAGACACACACAGAATAGACACATACAAGTGAAAGACAGATGCCATGTGAGGAACCATGTAGTAGCCAAGGAATGCCCAGAAAAACCTCCCCTAGAATCAAAGCCCTGATTTGGGTGTGTAGCTTCCAAAACAGAGACAATAAGTTTCTGTTCTTGAAGGCGTCAATTTTGTGATATTTTTGCTATAGCAGCTCTAAGAGTTGCCATGAGTCAGAATCAACTTGATGGCAATGGCTTTGCGGGGGGGGGGGGTTAAGTAAATAAGAGAGACACTAAGCCTCAGAGAGGTTAAGAAGCTTGCCTAGATTTATATAATTTTCTCAACACATGAAGAAAAGGAGGATCTTAAATCTGACTAAAGACATTGGATAGATGAGTCTGAAGCTCAGAGAAAGGTTAGTGCTAGAGATATATAAATGTGAAGGCATCACTTTTATTGGCAAATGTTAAAAAAAATCTATTAAAATTACATTCTAGAAAAGGTAAAATGA